CGCCAGTGCACAAATTTTTGTGCACCAGGCCTCTAGTATCATATAACAAAATAAAATTTGTTCAGCTGAATGTCTTTAAAAATGCTTAGGAACAAGCATATATAATTTGAGGCTAATAAAAAAAGTTTTATTACCAGTAAGTTCATTATTAAAATGGCAAAGTTAATAAGTATCTATTGGTAGCAGCTCAATACAAAATGGTATACCTTTTATCACATATTAAATGAATAAAAAATAATTCAAAACAAAATATATAAAAACAGCAATTATAACACACAGTCCTTAACCCTTGACATACTTCTATAAGAACAGATGTGTGTTAATCTTAAGGTAAAGATTAATGGAGCAATATTATGTAAAGTGCCTCAGGCTCCCTGACTAAAAGGTGACATGACTAATAACCCAAACCTGAAAGTGGAGGAGGCATCAGGAGGGAGGAATAAGGAGAAACATACCGTGCAAATATGAGGCCAGTGCTCACACTGTTGTACGATTCCTTGATTAAGTTCTTCTTTATATAACTCTTTGTAAAAATGTGGAAGCTTAGACATCCAAATGCCATTGCTATGCTTGTCTAGCATTTCCTTTATGCGGTTTTGAACCTCATCCATTTTGTAAGTGTAAGAGGCAGGAGGCGTGACATTTGGTTTTTCAACAGTCTGATTTAAATTATCTTTAAATTAAAAAAATGATAGAATTAACCAAAATGCTTGCTTTAGCTTATTCCCATTACCTAATGATTGTGCTTTAGGCTTTGTCATACTTCAGGCTTGTGGGGTCTAGGGATTTAGAAGGGAGCAGTATTAGGCAGAGCAGGACCAGGACAACTTCATCCCAAGTTTTAACCATGAAATAACCAGCAGGGTCAACAGCCACCCACAGAGGGAACCTGGTCCCTTTATTTTGCAAGGGTACTTCATCTAATTTAAACATCAGAATAATCTTGCTTCATAAAGAATAATGAAATTGCCTGGCCGGTGTGGCTTAATAGTTGAGCGTCAACCCATGAACTAGGAGGTAGCAGTCTGATTCCTGGTCAGGGCACATGCCCAGGTTGAGAGCTTGATCCCCAGTAGGGGGCATGCAGGAGGCAGCCAATCAAAGATTCTCTCTCATTGGTGTTTCTATCTCTCTCTCCCTCTCCCTTCCTCTCTGAAATCAATAAAAATTAAAAAAAGAATAATAAAACTTATTTAATCAACCATTTTCTAACTGTAACTAAGGAAGGTTAAATTTAGACAATAATGGTTTATTTGCAATACTGAATTTAAGCTATATTCCTCAAGGCATGAAGATAAAGCCTTAATAGTAAGATCAAAAAATATTTTATAAAAAATAATAAACTGTCCAGCTTTTAAGATGTGATCTGTCTTCCCCTTTATTCAAGAGAAAAATAATCTGGCAATACATGAAGTTCAAAAAATGATCCACTTACACTAATCATCCTGGCCTCAGTTTATAAATATAAGGTTTGAAGCACACAGATAACTACTGATTTTTTTTATTTCCCCAATTCATATCATTCAACTTTCATAAAGTGTTGACTAACTCTCTTACTCATTTAATTTTTATTTAAAATGTAGAGTGCCTGAGTTAACATCCTAAGACATTAAAGAAATTTGAGTGTTTACAATAGTTGATAGTTCTGTTTTTTTAGGAACTATGAGATTCATTCCAAATCTTATTTAAATTTCACTGGAATACAGATCAAAGTACTTTAAAAATTACCAACTACAAGCAAAATATGTTCACATTTCAATCATATAGGATTTCTGCTGGGATTCAACAATTTCACTTTAAACTGCCTGGTATAGACACACGGGCTGGTTTGGGGACACTGGCCTCTGAAGAGGCCAGAACGCCGAAGAGCGAGCTGTTCCTTGAGGATGGCTGGATGCTGACTGCTTTACCCACCACAGGGCAGAGACCTAGCCTTGCTGAGACTGTTTGGCTCAGCAAATGAAAGGGTCCAGGGTGCCCACCTAAGTTTCCTATTGAAGGCAGAGCTAAATTATTTAAGTTCTTCCCAAATAATGATATAAAAATACCAGAAAAAAGACGAGTTTCTCAGAACTGGCCAGACCCCATTTAGAGAGTGTCAGCAGCTGATGCACAGTTGGAGTCTTTGCAAACACACCTGCTCTGTGGGGCCTCTGGAGCCACCTAATGTTAGACCAATCAAGGAGGTGACCTAGGCTGTCAGCAGGCAGGCGTGTCCCTTATCACGATACCTGTGTCCCTTATCACCCTCTCACTCATAAGAGGGTAAGACTTAATATACATAAATATGAAACTTAAACTCATAAAATAGTTTCAGATACTCTGCCATTTAAAAGCTGGGACCCTACACCATGTGCAATGACCTCTAAGCATCTAAATATGAATATAAATGATTCCTCAGGTTATAAACTCCAAAAGGTCTGTTAAGAAAACAAAAGATGCATATCAGCTGCCAGGTGAATTGCAATCCTCCTGAATAAGTCCCTTTGGTTCTGCAGGAAAAGTTTATTCTGATTTAAAAGGACTTACAACCAGTCTAAAGGGTATATGACTTTATTGAGTATAGTAGTCATGTTTCAGGAAATGCATATGTAAGAGTAATTGACATAAAAAATCATATTGTTTAATTAATTTCTAGAAGAAATACTGGAGATGTGCTCTTACAGAAAAATGATTTTAATTCAGTAAGAATCACACTTAAAGCAGCAAATCCTTTAAAATTTGTGCAACATAAGTGCTATTTCTGAAAACAGTGTGTCCCTCAGGTGGGGCTATAAGCAGGGGATTTACACCTGGGTTGGAGGAGACAAGATGAGTGGGTACATTTCTAACCTTCAGATTCTTTGACTTTATATTTTGTCTCCAACTGTTTTCTTAACAGCCCCCTTTGGATCTTAAAAGCTGAGGAATCATTTATATTCATATTTAAATACTTAGTAGTCGCTGCATACAGCTTAGGGTCCCAGCTTTTGAATGGCAGAGTATCTGAAATGATTTTATGAGTTTAGGTCCCATATTTATACACTTTAAATCTTACCCTTAATGCATGAGAGGGTGACAAGAGACACAAGTATCTGTGCAGGTGGCACTTGGAATTGAAACAGAGTAAGTCTAATGTGAGGAAGGTCTCAAGTCAGAATAATGATGATATCCTTGGAGGTATTATTTTCTCTTTACATCAATTCAATTCATAACTTAAAGAAATTAAGAAAGAGGGGAGGAGAGAGATTCCAAGCAGGAGAAGGTGAAAGCAAATGTCAAAGCCATCAATAGATAGTTTTCTTAGGGCTTTGAGGCTCCAGAAGCCAAAAATCTATCATGAAGCTAATGTTTAGGGAACGTACCACTCATTTCCTTAGTACAGGTTCTTGAGAGATGTATCTGTAAAGGTGGTGGAAGGGATGCTTTTGGACTAAACCTAAGGTATAAAGAAAGTGAATTAAAATTAAAATAGCAAAGTTAATACCAAGTTTTAAACACTATACTTTTCATTAAAGTCTCTGTGGCATTGAACAGTAAAACAAGTCATTAAAATATTTCACAATGAACTGAAATGAAAATATACCTGATTTCAGCTTTCATGTTTCATATTCACCCAAAGAAAATGTTTTAAAAGCTAAATTTAAACTAGGATTATAAAATAACTTGGAAGTCAGAGTTCCAATTAATCACTTTTAAGGAACAAGCAATACAAAATAATTTTTAAAAACATGCAAAGAATGAACAGTTGAACATAAACACTATTTTTGGAATATAACTAAAAACTGAAAGACTTGCATCACCAGATATTGAAATGTATAATAAAGTTACAAAAATAGTTGAACAGATAAGTAAAATTGTAGAGAGCTTAGAAACACTCAAATTACATTACATCTTAGCATATGATAACAGTGGCATTTCAAACCAGAGAGAGGATTGCTCGAATAAGCACCTAGGAAAAAATAAACAAAGATTCCCCACCTCATACACTTAATAAAATAATTTTATATGAATTATAATAAATATATATAGCAAGATTTTTCCAAATATGAGTACAAAGAAATAAACCACACACACAGACTGCAATAATTTGTGTTCATGTTTGTCTCCCTCACTAGACTCTAAGTGTCTTAATTACCTGTGTTCCCAGTGCCTAAGGACAGTGCTTGGTACATGCAAGGAAGGGTGAATGTTGTAGGAATGAATAGAATGATATAGAATTTGTAGTTGACTTTTTTTTTCTTTCAGCACTAGAAAAATATGTCATTTTCTTCCTCCATGGCTGCAGATGAGAAATCCACTGTCATTAAAACTGGTATTCCCCTACAGGTGCTGTGTCATTTCTCTCTGGCTCTTTTAAAGATTTTGTATTTCTTTAGTTTTCAGAAGTTTAATGATGGGGTGTCTTGGTGTGGGTTTCTTTAGATTCATCCTATTTGTAATTCTCTAGGCTTCTTAAATCTGTAGGCTTATGTCCTTAGCCAAATTTGAGATATTTTCAACGACTATGCCTTCAAATACTCATTCAAGTCCCACTCACTCTTCTCTTTCTGAGACTCTGATATTACAAACATTAGGTCTTTCTTATTTTCCCCATAGGACCCTAAGGCTCTGCTAGCTTTTTCTTACCCATAGGCTCCTCAGGCTTTGCTAGTTGGTTTTTTGGTTTGGGTTTAGTTTGTTTTTTTGAAGTCTGTTTACTCTGCTGTTAGACTGGGAAATTTCTATTGTTCTATCTTCAAGTTTATGGGTTCTTTCTTGTGTCTTATTCATTCTGCTACTGAGCTCATCCGCACATTTTTTTATTTTGATGTTGCATTTTAAGTACTATAGTTTTCATCTGGTTCTTTTTACTATGTTCTATTTGTTTGATGAATTTTCTGTTTTTTTCCCCAAAAATATTGGCAATTGCTCAGAAAACACTTTTATGACAGCTGCCTTAAATTCTTTGTCACACAATTCTAACATCTGATTCATCTTGGTGTTGATGCCTGTTGATTATCTATTCTCATTCAAGTTGTCATTTGCTTGGTTCTTAGTACAATGAGTGATTTTTTTTGTTATTGTATCCTGGACATTAGGACACATGTTAGGAGACTTTGGATCCTATTTAAATGTCCTATTTTAGCAGGCGGTTACCCTGTTTAGGTTTAGCACAGTTCTCCTGGCCCACTTTTGTAGGCGGTGGGCCATTGATAATTTAGTTTTCAGGGCCCTTATGGTACTATTCTGGTCTGGTACATGCACCTGTTGCTGCTGGGGCTCCTGCGTGATCTCTGCAGGTGCTGTCCATGGGAGCAGAATGCACTTCCTGGGTCTGGTGCTGCTAGGTGGGAGGGGCAGAAGCACACTACGCTGCAGGTCAGAGAGCACCAACTTGGGTCCACTATTTAGGCTGCTGGTGGGGCCTCCCATTCAATCATTGCTGGTGCTACCTGGAGATGGAAGGCGCATACCTGGGCCATCCAGTGCCGCTAGGTGAGGGGTAGGAGACACCAGAGTGTGGGGTGGAATATGCTCTTCAGACCCCACAATCCAGAATGCCTGATTTTGCTATCATTTTATCAACTCAATTTAAAAACGGGACTGAATTTAGGCATGCAACAAGGGGAGACAATCATACCTCAGCCACATACTGAACCCAACTAATGCTTCGGGTCAAGATCCAAGTCTTAACTATGTATTTTCTAGATCTTATCCAAATTATAATAACCATAAACAACATTAAATATATACCATTATGGCAAATATTTAAGGGTTACTTTATAAAAAAATGCCAAAATATAAAAAATTACAACCCTTTTACCTAACTTAAAAAATTAATTCTTTCTAAATATTCTAATTATTAGGGTGGGAAAGTGCCTGTGTGGGGGGGAAACTATATTTTGCACAAAATGGGATTTTTGAACACTGAATTAAAGAAATTTGATACAACAAAATTTGTTTTATAAAGGCACAAATAGATGCAAGAAGGTAATACTGACTCATCGATATCAGGAGTTGGCAAACTTTTTCTGTAAAAGGTCCTATGGTACATATTTTAGGCTTTCTAGGCCACTGTCTCTGCACTACTACTGAACTCTGCAGTTGTGCAAAAATAAGCCCAGACAATACAGAAGCAATGGGATATGGCTGTGTTTCTATAAAACTTTATTTACAGAAAACAGGTAATAGGCTGGGTTTGGTCTGTGGGTTGTAGTTTGCTGACCTGAATGATCATATAAAACCTTTAATATTCAGAGTCAGAAAGGAAATTTGAGATTGCCTAGTTAACATTTTCACTGGACAAATGAGGACACCACAGCCCCAAAAGATCAAATGATTTCATTTACTTCCCTTGGCAGCATCAAACTCAGACTTTAAAGCTGTGTTATTATTGCCAATCCAGTATTCTGATGCATGGCTATATTATGCAATTGTATAATTATGGATTAATTTCTGGAACACAGTCTAATGTGCAAATCAACAGATTTTATTTAAAACTTACAAAATGTATTATAAGAAAGGTTCTCAGAAAAAGTTGTAAGTTATACTGAAATGGCATCTTAGAAAAATTTGTGAGAGCTTTTAAAATGAATTTCATAAGGAGGGATTACAAAAAATGTAGAGAAAATACAGAACGGAGATATTCAGAGAAATACATTCATGCAGCCATGAAAAGTGGATTTACAAATAATGATGCTACATACAAATAAACTTACATTAGACAAAACAAAGTATATACATTTCTAGCATTTGTTATCCTAGGTTCACTAAAGTTCCTTTAGCCCAACAAAGAACAAATACCTGTTGTTGGTAGGCATGGTCACATGCCTCTGCATGGGAACACTTTGGAACACTTCACTTCCAACATGTGTGTGTGCTGTGTAAGGTGGTAATTCAGCCTCAGGCTTGACTCCAAGAGAGTTTCCTCTGTCTCTTGACAGAGCTGCATTAGGCTTTCTGCTGATGGAAAAATCTGAAGAAAATCCTGGTTGTCTGAGAGTTGCTTTTGGTTTTCCTATGAAGTTAGACATACAGAATGGAATCACTTAGCTTCCCCAAACCCTAGTTTCATTATGTCACTCCCCTGTCCAGATGTTTTCTGCAGGTCTCTAATCTCAGAGCAGTATGTAAGAACGTGAGGAAGTTGCCACTTGAGGGCTGGTCAGTAGGGGAAGAGTAGATTGGTGAGTATTTAGCAGATGAGGTTCTTCAAAATATGATTTCATCTACTAGACTAGCTAGTTACTTTCCCTCTACTTACCAATTAATACTTATTAGCAACCATCTCATGTTCTTACAAATGTACCACACTCCCCCATATTTCAGTCCTCCATCCCCTCTCCATCAATTTAAACTCTTTCCATCATTTGAAGTCTGGGTTCAAGTCTCCTCTTCAATATGAAGCCCTCCATTGTCATTCTCACGTAAACTGCTTGCTGTGGCATTCAGGCATCTACTCTTTTTAAAACTGAATTTATTGGGGTGACATTGCTTCATAAACCATACAAGTTTCAAGTGAACAGCTCAATAAAACATCATCTCCACACTGCATCTTGCGCCCATCACCCCAAGCAAAGTCCTTTTCTGTCCCCACCTTTCCTCACTTTGCCACCTCCACCCACCTCCAACCCCCTTTCCCTCTGACTATCATCACCTCTGTCAGTGTCTATATGTTATATATGTCTATAGGGAATTTTGTTTAATCCCTCTTCCTCCTTTCATCTAATCTTTTGTATTACCACTGAGCTATTTCTTGAGAATTTAGTTTTAGAACTGATTATAAGCTCCTTGAAATGAGTACTCAGTAAACACAGGCTGAGCTGCCTATATAATACCTCTGTCTACCATATAATTCATATTTTTAAAAAAGAGAATTTATACTAAAAGGCATGATTTGCTAAATAATACATTAAATCATAGGTTCTTGGTTCATCCAACATGCTGGATGAAGCTTTCCTGCAAATAATCTAAAAGAATAACACCACATTTTGCTGTAAGTACTCTCTGTTATCTCACACTGAGTAATTACTTCATTTAGCAAGTCATGCTCATCATGTTCACTTAATTTCAAATGAAAATATTAGCTTCAGGATTTCACCCTTGACATATAAATGTTAACAGATATAAGTTTATCATGAATATAAGCAATATTCCCAGAATTCCATATGTCAGTGTATTCATAAACAGGCTTAAAATTTTTAGCATGTGAAAAGATCATACCTTCCAGAAAAAACGGCATGGTTTTCTTTACTCTCATCTGACAATTAACTTGCCGCCCAGTCTTTCTTTTAGAGCTCCTCTGACGAGCCACAAGCTGAGCAATTCTTGCAGTTTCTGTGCAGGCCACAGCATAACAGGTAGTCTATTCATGAGAGGCAAAGTGAGAGGAGAAACATTTCTCAGACACACCGGTGCCTAGAGGCCATATTTTTTAAAAATATATTTTTATTGATTTCAGAGAGGAATAGAGAGGGAGAGAGAGAAACATCAATGATGAGAGAGAATCATTGATTGGCTGCTTCCTGCATGCCCTCTACTGTGGATCCTGGACATGTGCCCTTGACCAGAATTGAACCTGGGACCCTTCAGTTCGCAGGCCGATGCTCTATCCACTGAGCGGAACCACCTAGGGCTAGAAGCCAATTTTTAAAAGTGGATCTCAGTGAGTTTACATGTCCCAAATCAAGCTGTATGCAAATCACTCTCTTCTTGATCACGTTGAGCAGAATTATATTTTCTACATAGAAATCAAGTACAGTCTAACATACTGAATAATCTTCCTTGGTTAAATTCAAAATTTTATTTATTCCTTAAACAGGTATTTATGAAGCATCTACAATGTGCTAGGTACTATGGGAATACCAAATGAACCAAAAGAAACCTGTGGTCTACACATATTATCTAACATAATCTGTGAGATATATTTTACTCTATTTAATACGATGGGAAAACAGAGGCTCAGAAAAGTTAGCAACTCATCCAAGTCACACAGCTAGGCTACCTGAATCCAAAGTAGGTACTCATAACTGCTATGTTGCACTACCTTTCAAAGACCACTAAATCCTAGTCTTGCCACTGCAAAGATTAGCTGGGTGATTTAGGGCAAATCAGTTAACCTCCCAATCTCAGAATTTGCAGCTATAAAAAAGGGTTTTACAGGGCTTAGATCTGGGGTTTTCAAGGTGTTCAGTGGAGCCACAGGATTCCATGGAGTTGCCTCAAGGGCCTCACAGTGGCAAGGTGTGAAGGTTAGGCAGGCCAGGACCCTCTGCTCCTACTTAAAACAGCAGCTCAGCTTTTTATCTTAAAAAACAACAACACAAAAACTTGTGCAACATATAGGCTATTTGAAAAAATATTTGACAAAAGTATGTAGACCATTAGGATTAGATGATCCCTAAAGCCCCATCTAATATGTAAGTCTTTGATTCTAAGTTGAACTCAAGAATGGGAAAGCAAAAATAAGCCAAAGCATGTTCCTACTCTTTGGCCCAGTATTTCTATTCCTGAAAATATGTTACAAGAATATAATTCAAAAGAAGAAAAAATTACATACCCAAATATGTGCAATAGGGCCTATTCTAACAGTCAAAACCTGGAAACATTAAAAATGCCCCAAACAGGGAAATAAAAGAGTAAATTATAGCTTAGTAACTCTATGAAGCATTATTAATTTATTAATTCATTCAGACATTTTATCATTCATACATTCAACACATTTATTAAGCACCAACTATTAGGGATGAAAAACAATCTCTCATCCTCAAGAAACTGATGAATGAAAGAGAGAAGGACAAAGAGACTAAACAGAAAATACTGTGTCAAGTAGGACGTTGGATGTATTACAAGGTGCCAAGTGAACAGAAAGGATGGCTTAAATCTCTCTAGGAGAATCAAGAATGCTGAAGAAAGTTTTATTATTAATATAATATTTAATTAATTTATAGCTGCTCCTTATAAACATTATTACAGATTAGGTGAACCTCCCCTTTGACCACTGCTGATCCTGGGACCCTTTTCCCTCCTCTACCCAATGCCTCCCCTGTGCACTGCCAACAGAGGAACAACTATAATAAGTTTTGGTGAGAAATACTTCATACATGTTTGATGTATTTACATTTATAGAAATGTACCCAGAAAAATGTACTGGTTTGAGGAATTGGTGTTTTTGCCTGTCTTTTGGGTAATGGTTTGTCCATATCTTCCACACTGTGCATTGGGCAGATACCAAGAAGTGAAACTGCTGGGTCACAGGGTATGCACAAGAAAAAACTTACTTGCTACCATCAAATTTCCCACGTTATACATAAAATACTCTCCCAGAGAATATAAATATGAATACATAATATTATTCTAGAGAAACTAAAGGATTTGAATTATGGAATAATATGATCACATTGGTGTGAAGGCAAGACCAGGCGAGAGAGAGAAAGGACTAAAGACAGGGAGAACGGTTGGGAGGGCCCTGTAATAATCAAATGCTAAATGATCAATTAGGGATTGAAGTGGGGTCCAGATAGTAGGAATAGATATGAGTGAGGTCAAATGATGAGAATTTAAAAGCATCTGTTAGTCTGGCAATCAGGAGGTCAGTGACCTGGAGAAAACAGTTGTAGCAAGTTCATAATGGGTGGGTGTGACATTTAGGCACTTAAGATTTCCAGTACAGTTACTTTGGATATTGAGACTGAATGAACTTTAACTTTAAAATTTCTTATTTAATATGGTTAAAATATTATTATTTTTACAACAAAAGAATTTGAGGGGTTAACCAAAATAATCAGAATCTAGACTGTGCTTTTTTTTTAATTCTCACCCGAGGATATATTTTTTTTAATGAATTTTGAGAGAGAGAGGGAGGGAAAGGGAGGGAAATATCCTGAACACACCCTGAACAGGGATCAAACCTGCAACCTAAGTATGTGCCCTGACCGGGAATCAAACCCACAACTTTTTGCTGTATGGGACGACGCTCCAACTAACTGAGCCACCTGGTCAAGGCTTAGCTAGCACTTTTCACTTTGACTTCTATCACAGTGATGAGACTGAAAGTGCCAGAGAGGAAATTAAGAACTGGTGTGACTTTTCTGACATGCACAAGTACCCCCTTACCTCACCAGATCTACTGGTCTCTATCCTGACCACTGCTGGCACACTTCTCAGATAGGCTTCTAGTGACGGGTAACCTAACTGCTTGAAGGGGATCCAGTCTCCAGTCAAGGATTTGTACTCTCCTTGCAGCCGAGGCAATGCTATTCCATTCTTATGAGACTGTAGAACAGCTCGTAGCATTTTTGAAACCAGATCTGCTTCCAGCATCTTCACCTATAAGAGCACAGTGCAAGATTACTGTGAGATGACTCATTAGCCTGTGATTCAAGTAGATTTTCAGAGTTTACACTTGTTAAGACTATTCGATAAATTGTTACTGGATACTTTCTGTGCTATTACAATAAAGAGCAATAACTGCGATGGTAGAGAAAAGCACAGCATGTTAGGAGGACACAGGAAGTCAGAAAGCCACAAAGACTAGCCTGTGAAGGGAAGATATCAGGGAATGTTTCCCAGATGAGGGGAGGCCCGAATGGAAGCCTAAAAGACAAGATGGAATCAGCCAGACAAAGAGGAAAAGAGTGTGTGGAGGGGGGGTGGCCAGGGGGATGGAGAGGTATCAGCCCCAAGTAAAGGAAACAGAACGTGCAAAAGGCACAGCAGTGAGAGAGAAGTTTATGGTTGTTCTGAGAATTCCAAGTAGTTAAGTGGCTGGACATGATTGAACAAAGACTCCAAGCTACATAAGGGCTGAAGGATAGGGATGGGAGAGGTGGGAAGAGGCAGACCCAGAAGAGTCTCTCATATTTGCTAATATGTTTGCATTTTTGCCAAAAGTAATGTAGGGCCTTGGAGAGGTTTTAATAGGGGGATAAAATGATTAGTTCTGCATTTTAGGAATATCACTATTCTGTAGTGGGGAAGACAAATTAGAAGAAGAAAGATTAATGACTTGTAGGAATACTTAGAAATGTGGATGACCTGAAAACAGGGCCTTGGGAATAAGCAAAATATCAATTTGAGAGGTAATTAGGAGGTGAAGTCAACAGGAATTGATTAGCGGGCTTGGATGATGAGGGAGTTTCCAAATTCCCATTTTAGAAGCATGGTGCATAGTAATGACCCACACTGAGGTGAGCTAGATCTGCAAAATAAAGTAATAGAGTGAATTAATTTTGGACATAGGAGTTTGGGATGCTCACAAGGCAGCCACACAGATATACTTACTAGGAATTTAAGTTAGATGTCTGAGCTGGTTATAGATTGCTGGCCTTCAGCATATACGTGGTATTTCATAACTAGGGAGTCAATAACAAAGTTAAAGATGGATCTTTGCAAAAGGCTGTCATTTAAGAAGTAGGCAGGAAGAAGATCATATAAAAGGCTGAGAAAAAGGGACCAGAGAAATAGAAGTAGAAAAGGCAGAGTCGCAGTGTTATATAAACAAAAAGAGGAGAGAACCAAGAAGAATGGCATGTTCAAAAGTGTCATCTGCAGCAGACAAGTAAGAGAGAAAAAAGCAAAGCGACTGCTGCAGTTTGGTACCTAGGAAATCCATGAGGACCTTGGCTAAGAATCTGCACTGATCAGTAACAGGCATGTTTCAAAATTAACCACTCCCATTTTATTTAGACTAGTGGTAAATAGAATGAAGATAGATTAGGAGAATGACATTTAAACAGCCAAGAAAAGTGGGAAGCATGAAAGGAAGCAGAAAGGTAAGCCATGGACAACTTGTTATATTTTCCTTCAACAGTGCTATCCCATAGAATTTTCTGTGATGATGAAAACGTTTTATATCTGTGCAGTCCAATATGGTAGCCAATAGCCACATGAACTACTGAACACTTGAAATGTGGCCAACATGACTGAGGAAATGGATTTTAATTTAATTTAAAATAAATATAGTTGTTAGATACCAAATTGAACCGCAGAGAATTCTGTTAATTTCCTCATTTGTCCTTTTGAAAAAGGAGACAATATTAGCTCAAGTGTGGGTCCTTTTAATTATAAATATAATACTCAAATGACAGCAAGGTTTAAGTGACAAATATTTAGACCTAAGTATTCCTCATGTGCTTTCCTGCACTTAACATTAACTTTTTAAAAAATTGTCACCACCAGCACCAACAACATTTAATTAATACTATAGTCTTGGAAAGTCCTATACTAGGTCTATATTCTTATACTCTCTATAAATAGATAAATAGACACACACACATACATATTTATACATATATCAAAATCTTCATTTAGGTATAATTTACATACAATAAAATTCACTCATCTTATGTGTACACTTACTGAGTTTTGAAAAATATACACACTCATGCAATCATCACCACAATCAAGATATAGACATTTCCATCACCAAAAAAGTTCCCTCCTGTGGGGAGCATAATTATGTAAAAGTAAAATGTACAACAACAATAGCACAAAGAATGAGAGAGAGAAACTGGAAGAATACCATTAGAAGGTTCTTATATTGTACATGAAATAGCATAATATTATTTGAAAGTGGAATGTGATAAAGACGTAAATTGTAAACACTATGGCAACCACTAAAAATTTTTAAGGCAGTATAACTAATAAGCCAGTAGTAAAGATAAAAAAGAATAAAAAATTCAATCAAAAAGCAGGCAGGCAGGCAGAAGTAAAAAAAAACTTAGGAAGGAAATAATAAAGATGAGAGAAAAAAAGAAAAATAATAACAACAACAAAGAATAGACAGGGCAATTAGAAAACAGCGAGCAAAATAGTCGATTTAAAACCAACCATACCAACAATTATATTGAATATAAATGACCAAAATATTCCAATACAAAGTTACAGATTGGCAGAGTGGATGTAAAAGCAAGACTTACCAAATACTATCTCAAAGAAACCTATTTTAAATATAAATGCATGGGTTACAAGTAAAAAGATAGAAAAAGATATGCCATGCTAATACATAACTATATTAATATCAGAACAAGGAATATTGGCAGGGACAAAGAGAGACATTATATCGTAATTAAGAAGTTAATTCAACAGAATGACATAACAATCCTAAGTGAGACTGCACCTGACAGCAACTTCAAAACGCATGAAGCAAAATGTTTTCAAAATTGAGCTGAAAGAATAAATAGACAAATTCATAGTTATTGGTAATTGATACAACCAGGAAACAAAAACATCAGTAAGGATACAGAAGAGCTCAACCACACTATCGACCAAACTAGTTTAATTGATATTTACAGAATACTCCCCTCCAACAACAGAATATACATTCTTTTCAAGAGCACACGGTACATTCACCAAGATGGAATATATTCTGAAACTTAAAACAATCCTTGACCAATCTACGTATAATAACTGAAATTACACAAAGAGTGTACTATGTCCAGAACAAAATTAAATTAGGTACCAATGACATTGATATATATATATTGGCAAATTTAATGACATACTTCTAACTAACCAATGATCAAAGGGAAAGCTCCCCAAAAATCAGAAAATATTTTTAAATAAATGAAAACACAATATACAGAAATTTACTGGTTGCAGTTAAAGCAGTATTTAGAGGGAAATTTGGAGCATTATATTGTTACTAGAGGCCCGCTGCACAAAGAGATTTGTGCAATAGGCCTTCCTTCCCCCGGCTGCCAGCACCGGCTTTCCTCCAGCATCCGGGACCCAGGCCTTCGCTCCGGCTGCAGCGGAAAAAGCAAGCCTCTTAAGTCTTCAGTCCTCTTCAGTCTTCAGTCTTTGCTCTTCGCCTGCATATGCAAATTAACCACCATCTTTGTTGGGTTAATTTGCATACTCATCCAGATTGGCTGGTGAGCATAGCAGAGTGACACCAATTTGCATGTTTCTCTTTTATTAGTGTAGATGTTAGAAAACAAGAAAGGTCCCAAATCAGTGATCTAATCTACAACTTTGAGAACAAAGGAGAGCAAATTATAACATAAGTAAGTAGAAGGAAGGAACTCATAAAGATGAGAATAAAATAAATATTAAGATTATGAAACAGGTCTATAACGAAGACAAAACTAGTATTTTGAGAACATCAATAAAATGGATAAACTTCCAGGCCGATTATTAAAGAAAACACACACATTACCAATAATATGATTGAAAAGGGGGGCATCAATTCATCAGGAGGTCATAACAATCCTCAGCACTTACCACTATCACCAAATACTTCATTGAATTTTACTGGCTATCTGCCCAACTTGAATATAAGGTTTGCGAAAGCAGAGATTTGTAAGGTCACTGCTGAATTCCTCCTGCCCAGGCCACAAGAGGGACACAATAAACATTGGATGAATGAATGAATGAATGAATGAGAAATTCTCCATCTACCTAACACCACTGCTTTTCTCTCCTACTCACTAAAATATATGCATGTGAACTATTAAAGGAATAATCTTTATTTTAAAAATTACTTGCAGGGGAAAAAAGAAAACAAATTATTTGCAAATTTTAATAACTGTTATCAACTGACTGAGACAGCCAATTGTGTCACCAAGCTGTCATTGAGAACCATCAGGTGGATGAATTCTGGGCCTTGCTACTCTGAGCCAGTGTTCTCTGAGGCAGGCCCAGGTCAAGGCCACAGCAGACTGCACGGAGTCTATACATTCCGATGAGCAGTGAGCACTGCTTGAATACTGGTGTCTCACACATATTCCTGTTTTTCAAACAGTGTGCAGACACTATTGGGATTCACAAACCCAAATTCATATTGAATTCACAACAGCTTTGGGTAGTGATGTATTTTATCAACCAATAGACACTAGAAGTACAACCACTAGTGTGTGAGGTTTCACAATGTTTTTTACAAAGCTAACAAAAAGGACCTTATACTTGAGAAGACTGGAAAGCAATGCCTGACCACAGGAAGGCAATCTGAATTAAGTATCCTACCACTCCCCGCCCCCCACCCCATGACTTTTTTAAAAATATGCTATTTTCATGGAATACTATAATTCTCTATTTGCATACAACTTTTGGAGGGAAGAGCAGTCCCTTAGACTATAAGACTGAGGATCCCAAAGCTAGTGAGAAGCAGTTAAGCACAGTAAAACCTGGAACAGTAGGTGTGATTTTATGTCTTGTTCAGATGTATGCCTTGTTCTAATGCTTTGCAATCTGGTTTGCAATTCCTACATTAGCAATATCACTTTAGACATTGAACAAAAGGAGAGATACAACTAAAGCTTTTAAAAAACATTATCATTTTCTGATCTACTATATTGCTTCAAAATGCTCTAAGTTTTGGCATATTTTGAGATTTCCTGAAGATGGCAATTATACTTGAGAACT